ATATATATATACAAGATAAATCAAACTTGGATAAAATATAAAATACTGATAGTTGAATTTCACTCATTATCTCCAATTTAAGCTGCATTTGTTTGTGTCAAGAGTTTAAATTGTCATTCCTTAGGTAGATAATCTTTATTTCTGGTGGTGGTGGTGGGGGGGGGGGGTGCGGTTATTAAACATCTGCTCAAACTGATTGTCCAACGTCACTCCACACACCTCCTCCCCATCCACCATCATCCTCAGAGTCCAGGTGAGCTTTCGCCTGCTTTTTCTCACCTTGTGATGTTTGCATCATCCCAGCTGAGAACTTGAAACTAAAACATTAGAGGCAACACAGTGCTCCAACCTCCCTCCCCCAGTTGAGTCCTCTGTCTCCCCCCTGTGGGGGAGGCTGAAACATTCTGTACGTGGCATCGATGCGGGTCAGCCGAAGAAAGAAAACTTCTTTTATTTCAAAGAATGTTTAAGTTCTGCTGCCCACATCACGTGTGAGTCAGACACACCCATCACACACACACACACACACACACACACATACATGCCAGCGCCACATCTGGAATCAATCGGGTTCAACCTCTGCCATGAAATTTAGCTCCCTGCACCCGTAGAAACCCTCCCAAAGCACCCAGAGGAGACAGCACCATGACTTCTTTTCTTCACAGCCATTATTCTGCTCACACAACCCACAGCTGTGGCTTTTATTAAAAAATACAACACAGATACAATTTTACTGTCAGTCTACAAATTTAATAAGACCTAATTGATCTACTGCGACAAAATAAAAGACTTTGGTTCCAAAATTGTGATGTGCTCATAAGAGATCAGAATAATATGTGCATAATTTTTGTATGAATTAATACTGATATTAAATCATCGGGTCGATTTGGTCCACAATTATTTTTACTTTCAAGTGGCACGTTGAACAAATATTAAATAACACCAGTTATAGTCTGAAGTTTAGGGAAGCAGTAGTTCTATGTTCTTCACATTTCATCTACAAAATGTTGTCTGAGATTATTATTTTTTTTCAATAATTTGAAGATATTGGTCAGTTTTAACTTTAAACATTATAAAATAAATATACTGCAGAGTTTTAAGAGTTGTTTTGTAAACAACGTCTATTCTCTACTTCCTAAATTTCCATCATTTCATTCAGGCCTATAAAAGACATTTCTGTCTAAATTTGTATCTATATGAAATTAAATCCTTGTTTCTGTGTTTCAATAGACAGTCTACCTCCTCTGACTTCTACAACTGCATCATGAGCACAAACGTTCGCCCTCAAACCCAGAAATAAACTTTTGAAAACAATTATTTAAATTTTCTTTAAGAAACCAGGTAGTTTTCATGTTGGAATATGCAGCACTGACATGTTTAAAAACACTAAGAGTTATACTTTGTCCACCTCAAGCTACATAATAATAATAAACAGCATTTTATGTTCCTGAATATAAGAGAACTTGCATTTCTTGCGAAAATGCAGTGTGAATGTTTATTGCAGAAGAACTTGCTGAAAAAAACAGCTGAAATTAGGTCACAAACATGCTGAAATGTAGCTGAAATGGAAGAACAGGCCTAAGTAGCAGAAGAAAGCAGAAAGAACATATGTTTGCTGAATTAGATTTAAATAAGCAAAAATTAGCCCAAAAATGAGGAAAAGTTGAAATTAACTAAAAATAGCTGAAAAGTAGATGAAAAGGCAGAAAGAAGCTTGAACTACCAGAAGGAAGTGGAGAGAGCTGAAATGAGTTTTCAAAATGTGGAATTAGCTGAAAAGGCTAAAATTAGCATTAAAGCAATTAAATAATAGCTGAAATAGCAGAAACTTGCCGAAATAAGCTGAAAGGAGCATATCAAGCTGAAATTAGCAGAAATAAGTTAGAAGAAGCAGAAAAATGTTGTAGTTAGCTGATAGAATCAGGACGGAGCACAAAACAACTGAAATAACAGCTAAAATTAGCTGAAAGTAGCTGATTTTTTTTTTAAATTTGCACAAGGTGAAAGAAGCTGAACCAGAACAAAATGTGAAAGGAGCAGTAAAAGGTTGTGAACAGGTTTGAAGGATGTAAAATGAGCTCAATTTATTTTCTTTGAGAAACAAATGGTAGAAAAGGTTAAATAGTTCAAAAAGCTAAAGTTGCACCAATACCAAACAGTCATAGCAGGATTGTCCTGAAAGAGCTGAATGTTTTGATTTATGATTTGTTGAAATAGCACAAAAACTGTGGAACGATAAAGATGCTGAAAAACGTATGGAAGAAAAATGGATCACAAAGTGTGAACGATTCTTTAACATTTCACAATCTTTGCGATCCTGGCTCCTCGGCTCCATGTTGTGGTCCAACCACCCGTGCAGGGAGTTCCTCATTAGAAGTGTTCACCTGGAAGAGTCGGACGCTGTAACCAATCAGAGCCTGTAAGGCTTCATGTTCACGTTCATGCACAATATGTAGAATGAAGAGCACAGTTTAAGACCCACACAGGAACATTTGTGGCCCCATACATAATAAAATGGCATATATAGCTTAATGAGTTAACATTTCTGCCTTAGTTTTTAACAATGCAATCCAAAAATATAAACATTTTTAGCATTTCATCTAGATTGAGGGGGAAAGAAATGCTACAGTGCTACAAATCTGTTCATGTTTGGCAGTATCTCACGGGCTGCAGACGATTAAACAAACCTTCATTTCTGTTTTCTGTACTTTGACATTAAAGGAGTTTAAATGCATATTTTCACTTCTGATCATTTTTAGGTGCTTGCACGTGGTGAGATAAAGCAGACCCCTCGTCTCATTTATAAGATCCACACAGATCAATCAGTGAGCGTAATGACCGACAGGTTACATTTCTTTATTATCTAAAGATCTCTCTGCTTCTGTCTGCACTTGCTGCGTTTTCACACTGCAGCTTTAATTACGCTCAAGTTGAAGCGAGCTCTTTGGGGTTTCACATATTTCCGCTCACCGTTGGTTGTGATCTGGTGGTTATTTCTCCGAGTGCAGAGTTTTATTTTTCATCCGTCTGAGCTGGGGGGAGGGAATGAACCGAATGAATGGGTTTCCTTTAGTTCCATCCATCCCTCCCTTGCTTCCTCCCTCAAATTGCCACCTCTCTCTTACTCCCTGTCTCCGTTTGTTTTGCCCTTCTTGCAGGAGAAGTTTCTTCATACCTGCCTGAACAGGGAGCGCTGTAGGGCACAGAAAAGAAAGAATTAAACAAACAAGCTGGGCTGGGAAAAACAAAAAGAACAGGGAGAGCAGGACGAACACATTCAAGGGGAGAAAGAAGGAAACTCTTTTAAAGGAAAGGTCTGGAGTCATCACATTTGCTCTTTTTTTTCTACTTCCCTGCTCGGCTGATTTGATTTTTTTAACTTTTGGAGACC